GACTCTTCCCCTGCAGATGATTATAAACAGTTCCAGGAGCTATTTAAAAGGGTAGCCCAGTCTCAAGAACTACACACAATGGACATGTCACAAAAACAACACCGTCTCCTGAAAATTTTACAGCCGTCCCAGAAATCTAAATTGGCTCTCCCCTTTGATGAAGCCATCCTGGAAATTGCCAATGATATATGGCAGACTCCCGCTTCTGCGCCACCTACCAATAAACATGCAGATAAGAAGTATTTTGTTGCCGCTAAAGACACAGAATTCTTATTCACGCATCCTCAGCCCAATTCCATCATTATGGATGCCGCACAACAAAGATCGAAGACGGGACAGGACAGGAGCGCAGCGCCTGACGAGGATGCAAAACGGCTGGACTTGTTGGGTAGAAAAGTCTATTCTTCTACCACGGCAACCCTTAGGATGGCTAATTATGTGGCTCAACTTGCCAGTCATGATTTCGACAATTACTCCAAGCTTGTCGCCCTCATAGAATACTTGCCTGGGGCTAAGAGGCAAATCTTGAAAGCTGTGGTGCAGAAAGGCTACACAGTAGCCAGTACAGCGCTGCAAACTGCCCTCGATATTGCTGACACGTCCTCTCAGACTACGGCAACATAGTCTTATTATCAACCTCCCAACGTCTTCCCTAGCTTCTTCTCAGTCTCTCGAGTTCATCGGGGCGAGGCTGGACTCCACAACCGCGACCGCGTACTTACCTCTTGACAGGTCGCTTACCATCCAAGACCTAGGGAATACTCTACTCACTGCCCACAAAACACCCATACTCACCTGCCTGAAACTGCTGGGGCACATGGCAGCCACCACTTATGTGGTTCCCCATGCGAGACTCCATTTGAGGTGCCTTCAGCATTGGGTGCTCACGATATATACACCGGGTACCCAGAGTACACAAAAGTCTGTGGTTGTTCCCAAACACGTGAGAGACTCATTACCTTGTTGGCTCATCCCGAAGAATACCCTAGCGGGTGTCCCCTTTCATGGCTAGAAACCAGCAGTACAAATCACCACGGACCCGTCTTTAATCGGTTGGGGAGCCCACATACACCATTACCAGACTCAGGGACTATGGACACATCAGGAGTCACATAAACTTTTTAGAGTTGCAGGCAGTATTCAACGCCTGCAAACATTTCCTGCACACAATATGAGGAATCAGTACAGATCCTCACCGACAACATTTGCACCATCTACTACATCAACTGGCAGGGCAGTGCCAGATCCCGAACCCTCTGTGCCGAATCCATCTGTTTATGGACTTGGGCTACCTGGCATGGAATCACACTCAATGCTGCGTACCTCCCTGGCAAGAGCAATACTATTGCCGATGCTCTCAGCAGGTCCTTCCCTCTACAGCACGAGTGGGAATTGCTAGACGAAGTAGTCCGCAGCCTCTTCGAGTACTGGGGATACCCCGCCATAGACCTTTTTGCCACTCAGGACAACAGAAAGTGCCGCCTGTACTACTCGAGAGCAGGCATGGGGACAACTTCTCAGGGGGATGCCTTAACACAGAGGAACTCTGTGTTAACAACACACACATTTCAAATGCAACTTTAGGCGTCAGACCACCAAAAGACCTACCTTCGCAAATGGCATCAGTTCCAGTCGTGGTGTGAGGCAAGAGGTGTCGATCCTCTATCTATACCTATCAAGCAGATTCTTGATTATATTCTTCACCTGAAGTCCGAGGATCTGGTGATGTCCTCACTTAAGGTCCACTTGGCAGCAATTTCCACCTTCCGTCCTCCCATTGAAAGCAGCTCAGTTTTTGTGCATCCGCTGACCAAAAGATTTTTGAAAGGTGTCGCAAACCTATACCCTCTTCACAGACCACCTCCGGAGCCTTGGGACCTAGGCCTAGCCCTGGACATGCTGACTCATTCCCCTTTCGATCCCTAGCGACATGCAACCTGCA